GGGCGAGGCGGAGGCAGGGGCGGTGGCGGGGAGGGAGCGGGGGGCGGGGGCGAGGAGGAGCGGGGCGGGGCGGGAGGAGCAGCGTCACTCTGCCCCCTCCCTCTCAGAGAAACCCTGGTGCCGCAGGTGCCGCAGGTGCCGAGGAGGGAGGGGCCAAGGAATAGAAAGATGGTGGGGGATCCAGCAAGAGGGATGTCACCCAGCTTGAGGCTGTCAGGGAGGGCCTGTCCGTCCCTGTCCTGAGCTGGGGAAACTTCCAGGGTGGCTTAGCAGGATTTGGGGTCCTCAGGGTCAAGGTCTCTGCACAGCCAGTTTAGTCAATGGGGTGGGAACCTGGGACCCAGTGTCCTGTCCTCTGGGCGGCGGACATGGGAATTAGGTCTGGACCAACCTGTCCCTGAGCTTACGGGATAAAGCCAGCACCAGGAGGAAGAGGCCTTGGAATCCTTCCCCTGTTGATAGGAGGGGCGATGTCACTGCTGGAGGCCTTCTTGTCCAAGCCCCTCTCAGGGCACCTGGTTCCAAACAGGTACTCAGAGAGAGGCCATGGCAGACCGATGCTCTGCCTGCTCCGTCACATGCAGTTTGTAAACCATCCATCCTGGGAGCCAGGTCCCATACACCCCTGCCCCATGCCCTGAGTGGGTGCACCTCCCAGAAGCCCCTCGCTGCTGTGAGAGTTCCAGCTGGGAGCAGAGCAGAGTGCCAGGCAGACAGGACTCCATCCCCCCGAGGGCCGAGTGGAGAGAGTTGGACTGAGATTCAAGGAGGGAAGCTGTGATGGGCTGACCCTTGGGGTTGGGAGATCCCTGCGGATGTGTAAGGACCAAAGAGCCCTGGGCTGCTGGGGCCCATCGGCAGGAAGAGGGGGTGGACTTGGACACCGCCCCCCACTCCCTGTCCATCACCCAGAAGGGCCTGGCTCACATCTTGCCGGCTCATCACTTTTCCTGAGCCCAGATTTGACTGTCCAAGGCCAGGCGCATCTCACTGACTGCATCTCACTGACTGCAGCTGCCCAGCGGTGTGGGGGTGAAACAGGGGCTGGAGGGGGAGGAGGGGCTGGGCCGGGAGTAGGCCGCTGGGACAGCACTGCCTCTGAGCACCTTCAAGCACTGAGTCCCCCCCTCCCCTGGCCCGGCATCACACACTCCGGCCCCTGGCTTCCCGTCCTCCTGACTCACCCTCACCCACTGCCACTCACCAGCGTCTTCAGGCCTGTGAGCCCAGCCCCAGGCTCCACCACACGGGCCCTGGGTGGAGTGTGTGTGCGTGTGTGTGGGTACCTTGTGAGTGTGCAGAGTGCACGAGTGTGTGCATAAGGTGTGAGCACGCACGTGTATAGGTGCACGCATGAGGTGTGTAGGTGTAAGCATGTTTGTAACCGTGTGAGTGTGTGTGAGGGTGGATGTATGTGTAATTGTGTGTGCACCTGCATACAACTGGGAGTGTGCATGTATGAAATTTAAATATGTGCATGCACTGTGTGTGCACATATAGATGTGTGTGTAACTGTATGTGTAGATGTGAATGCCTGCACGTGCATTTGTCTGTGTGTGAGTGCGTGTGCCTGTGGGCTGCGGAGACAGCAAAGGGAAGGGGTCCCGGGAGTTGAGGGGTGAAGCCCCCAGGCCAACCTCAGCTCTGGCTCCCCTGGGCTCCGGCAGAGTAGAGGGCCCAGTCACCGGGCAGCTGGCAGGGCTCTGCCTCCCCCATGCCCACTTGCCTTGTTCAGCCAGTGGCCTGTGGCTGTGGGTCAGGTGGGGCTGCGTGGATTCTCGTGGCTGCAGCCAGCTGGCACAGGGCAGGCCCATCTGCCGTGGGCTGTAGGTAGGTCACAGATTTCTGAGTGGTGCAGGATTCGTGCTGGGCCGAGGGGGTGGGAGTTGGTGCTTCTGAGGGGCAGGCTGGGACTCACTGTGCCTCCAGCCTGGGTTGCGCCCTGTGTCCCTCCTGGGGGGAAGGTGTTCGAGGGCAGGAAGGCTTGGCGCTTCCCTGGGAGGGGTGTGCAGGGTGAGCTGCCCATCCTGGGCAGCAGGGAGGACAGACTGGCTGGCACGGGCTCCTGCGCCTGGGAATTTGTCCATCTGTCCATCCAGCTGCCCATCTCCTGGCCTGCTGCACCCTACATGGTCTGCAGCCAGTCCTGGGCACTTCCAAGGGCACCTGACGGCCGTGGGGTCAGAAGGCCGTGGCTCAATTCCCAGCGTGGTCCCTTAAGAGCAGTGAGCCGCTTCGCTTCACTGAGCCCATTCCCCTATCCGTTCACAAAACACATCAAAACAAAATGACATTCAAGTGAGCACACCCGCGAGCAGGGCAGAGGCTGGCATTCAGGGAATATGAAGGGAGCCCTGTGTCCCCGCCCGCCCTGTCTGCCTGCCCGCCCGCTCGGCCCCCACGGGCCAGGCATCCGACGCTGGCTGAGTCCGCACCGCGCAGACGGCCTGGGGAGGCGCAGACACAATTCCCCATTCACGCCTGCGGCACAAGCAGCTCTCGCGACCGCGGCTCCCCATGCTTGGCCAGGAGAAGTCCTGCCTCCTCATGCTGGCATTCAAGGCCCTGCAGGACCCGTTTCTGGCCATCTTCCTATGCTCACCAAACGCCCCGCCCCCGCCGTTCTGAGTCACTGCGCTGCTCCCTCAGCCTGAGACTCCTGTGAGACCCGGGTCCCCTCCTGCCTGCCTCCCTCGGGCTGACCCTCCCTCCCAACCAGAGAGCCCCCTGCCCTAACCACAACAGCCCGCTGCCCACCCAGATCCAACGCAGGCTGACCAAGTTCGGGGTCAAAGGATGCTGGATGACTGGGTGGAGGGACCGAGGATGCAGGGGAAGATGAGCAAGCACCAAACGTTTCGGGAGACTTCGCTCCCAGTCTGGGGTGAGGCTGGGGTCAGGCACGGTCACTTCCCGGAGGAGGCAGCTTTTTCTCTGGGCCTTGAAGGATGGCTGAGGGGACAGGTGTTCCCGATGGAGAAAAAGAGCATAAGCTAACAGACGAGGGTGGGGCATCGCGGGGAGCAGTAAGCCCCCATCGTCGGTGGGGCACAGAAGAAGGTAGTCCTGGAAAGGCACACTGAGGCCATGCACTCAAGGACTTGGAATTCCACGTGAGGGGCATGGGGGACACGAAAGGGAAAGGTGATCAGAGCTGGAAAGTCTGCAGCCAGTGTGGAGGGAGGGCACGAGAGAAGCCCAGAGGCAGAGAGGAGGGAGGTCCCAGTGCCGGCGTCCAGGGGAGAGAGCCTGTGCTTGACCCAGGGTGGGGCGGGGGCAGGAGGCGGGGAGCAGGTGTAATGAGGGGCTGGTGACTGTGCCTCGTGTTCCTCCTCATAAAGTGGGGCCGTACTGACCTCAAAGTGGCCATTTTCCAGCACTTTTGTTCATCTTTCTCAGTTTATTCACTTATCCATCTAGCTGTACATCCTTCATCAATATGGGTTAACATGTCAGAAATCAAGCCGTGAAGCTGGCACAAAGGCCCCCTCCGGGGGTCTTCCGCGGCTCCTTTACCTCAGCAGGTCTTCAAATCATCTCAGATTCCATTCCGGTTCTTGTGTGTGTGTGTGTGTGTCGTACTCCATGTCTGAGCCTCGCAAATACCGTCAACTCTATCTTCAAAATAGATTTTTTTAAAAGATCAGCTCTTAGCACCTTCACTGCTCTCAGCCGTACGACCACCCTGATCACTCACCTGGGCTATTAGCCTTGTCTCAGCTTTCGTCCAGCCTCTGCCCCGTAAGTCTGTTTTTCACCCAGCATCCAGAATTACCACGTTAAAATGTGCCAGAGCATGTCATGTTTTCTGCTAAAAAGCTCCACAAAGCCCTCCACAATCTGCTGCTTCAGTTTGCTCTCTGCCCTTGAGCCTTACTCCCCCCCTTCGGGGTTCCGCTCCCCGCACACTGGTCCTGGTTATTCCTCGGAACCCAGGCACACTCCCGCCTCAGAGCTTTGTGCTCTGAGACATGTGTTCGCTGCAGGCAAACATATGAGTCTGTCACACTTTTCTAGACTTTACTCAAATGTCCCCGCTCCGTGCCTGCCTTCCTGAGCACCCAGCTAGAACTGCACCTCCCACAATTCTCTCTGCTGCCTGTTTTCTTCAGTTTTCTTTTTGGACATTTAACACATCATATCGTGTTTACCTTCTGTGTCCTCTCCCTAGAACGTGAGCTCCATGAGGACAGGGGACACTGTTTCATTCCCTGCCCTACGCTTGGGACCTAGACCCACAGTTACACAGAGCGGGCACTGAGCACACACTGACTGAGTTAATGAAGCTGTCCATCTGCATGCATTAGTCTATAATCTAGCCCTCCCTCTTTTCCATTTATCTGCCCATCGACTCCCCCAACACAATTCATATATCCATCTATCCACCTGCTCCATCCATTTGACACACATTTCTTGTCCACATATGCATCTTTCCCGCCAACCCAGCACACGTCCATCTATCTGCCTATCCCAACAATTCAGCATTTATTTCTAAACCCACGTACCCTCCTGTCCTACCCATCCAGCGCGTGCCCATGCCTCCATCCACCCACCTGTCCTACCCATCCAGCATGCGCTCATGCCTCCATCCATCCCCCTGTCCAGATTATCCAGGATGTATTCATAGGCTCCTCTACCTGCCTGCTCCCCCATCCAGCATACATTCCTGTATGTACCCAGATACCTGTTCACTGTTCCAACCACACAACTTAATTTCATATATCCACTATCTACCTGCCCCACCTGGCATACATTTATGTGTCCATCCAGCCACCTGTTCCATCCATTCAGCATCCATTCTCATGTGTTCATGTGCTAGCTCATCCCACCCACTGAGCTTTCACATATCCGCCTATGTACCAGCTCTGCCCTTTCAGGAAACACTCACCTATCCATCCAGCTCTCCCACCCACCCAGCATCCATTCCTGTGTCCATTTCCCTGTCTGTCCCACACATCCAGCGTACACTCCGTATCTCCCTCTTCGTCATCCATCCACCTTCCCAACATCAAGGCACCTCTTCAGTCCTCCTCTTCCTAGTCACCTTTACAACCAGCCACCATTCCCCATCCATTCAGTAATCCATCTTCCTTCCCACCACTCATCCATCCACTTGAAACATCCAACTCTATCATTACTTTTCCTCATTCCAAGTATCCAACAAAAAAGTCATGATCAAGGGCTTATTTTTAAAATTTAGTGTTGTTTAAAATGAAAAATAATCAATGAATATAATTTACTACTTAATGAATTAGAGAAGAAATATATTTGTCTCGTGGTGGTTTTTACGAACACACTGATACACCTCTAACAACATGATGAACGTCATTCTGAGCAGTGAGCTTTGAGATGAAGACGGAGAGGAGGCTCCGTGCTATGACCCTTGCCATTCAGCATGGTTCTGCTAGTCTTGCCTCGTGATAGAACAGCTTGCTTTGGACCAGACACTATGTGTGCTCAGGCTTTCTGTCCACCGACTCGTTACTCCCTTTCAGCAACCTGATCAGTAGGTGCTATTGTGACCCTCACAGTAGGTGTTACGGATGAGAATTCTTGCTAAGATTATGCAGCTGGTGATGGGAAAAACTGAGATTCAGATCCAGGCAGTGACTCTCTGGCATCTGTACTCTTTGCTTTGTTTTGGTTTGGTATTTTTTTTTTTTGGTTGGGGTAGGTAATTAGATTTATTTATTTATTTATTTTTAGTGGAGGGACTGGGGATTGAACCCAGGACCTCATGCATGCTCAGCAGGTGCTCTACCACTGAGCTGCTCCCTCCCCTCTGGCGTCTGTACGCTTAATCACTGTTCCATAGAGCCTAGGATAAGGACTTACAGAAGAAATGGGACTGCTATTTAAGGTAGCTATGATTTATTACACAGAAAACTTGGCCAGTTATCACAATGAATGAATACGATAGTTTAGCTGGGTACAAAACCAATCTGCTGCATTATTACACACCAGCAAAACCCAGCTGGCAGGATTCCAGACATCTCTTACGGTGTGATGACAGCCGAAATAAACAGACAAACACTAAATCTAACAAAAGATACAATAGCTCTTTCTGGAGAGAACTATAACATTTTAGTCTAATGAAGACATCAGATAAGACCTACGTAAGTGGGTGAGACACCACGTTCTCATAAAGGAAGACAAAATTCAGTGATGTGGGTTCTCTCCAGAATCACTGGAATAAAAATTCCACATGGATGTAGACTTTCTCCTTCTCTCCTTCCCTTCCCTGGCCCCTCAGCACCTGCTTCCTTCCCTACCCCACCTCGGTTCTGTGCCATCCACGTGAAGTCACCCAGCCTTCCCCTCCCTCCCCCAACCCCTCCAACTTGTCTTCCTGCTCCATCAGCTCCATTGCCTCCTCCCCTTCCTCACCCGCTCTGTCCACCGCTGGACATTCACCGTCTTCTTTTCCTCTCCTCTGTCTGATCCCTCCATTGTCCCACGTCCTCCATCCACCCACCTCTAGGAAATCCAGCCACCCAGCCACACTCCCTCCTGCCTGTCCCCACCACGTTAGCTACCCATCTGCCCTCCCGTCCACCTGCACCCCTGCCTTCTGTCCATCCATCCATCCACCAATCTGCTGCTGCAAAGACTTTCTCTCCCTGCCTCTCTCATCTCTCTCCCTCCTTCTCCTCTTCCTCCGGCCTCGTAGGCTTTGCTTTCTGCTTGCAGCATGCTCAGGCCTACACTTCTTTGGACTTCATGGAAGGAGAGGGTGTGGAGTAGAGGGAACTCCTCAGACCCATCCTGGACAAGGGTGACACGCTCCCCAAGGACATCTCTTCACAGCCAGAGGACCTTGGAAATGGGTCCACCACTGTCCACAGCCTCCCTGGACTTACTGGGCTCCAGCCCACTCCCGGCACCTTAGTATCTCTGCTCAGACACCCTGGAGCTGCCTGCTGGCTATGAATAGTGCATATTCTCAGGGAATCCCAGTTAATTTTAAATTAGGTGAGACCAGTCAGATTAGGACACACTTGTGCTGCCCCATCGTCCAGTCATATCACTCCCTCTGAGGCCAGCTTCCTCTTTTATTGTAGTTACTTATGTGTCCAGCATTATTGAGATCTAATTGACAGGCAGCATTGTACAAGCTTCAGGTCGACAACGTGGTGATCTGATCCATGCTTATATTGTGAAATGATTTATTTCCACAGTGGGGCTGGTTAATATCTCCACCACCCCAAGTAGTTAGTCTTTTTTTTTTTTTGGTGGTGGTGGTGGTGGTAAGAACACTGAAGATCTACTCTCTTAGCAATTTTCAAGTATATAATCCAGTATGGTTAACAATCTGTTTTATTTTAAATATTTTTAGATTTACAGAAAAGTTGCCCCCCAAAGAGAAAAAAAGAAACACAGGATTCCTGCATATCCTTCACATAGCTGTCCCAGTGTTTGGGGTTTTTTTAATTGAAGTATAGTTGGTTTACAGTGTTGTGTTAGTTTCAGGTGTGCAGCATAGTGATCCAGGGAAACATAAAAGACGCAGATATGTGCGTGTGTATGTATATTCTTTTCCAGGTTCTTTTCCATGAGAGGTTATTATCAGATACTGAATCCGGCTCCCTGTGCTCTGCAGCAGGTCTCCGCTGTGCATCTGCCTTGTATACAGTGGCGTGTGTCCTGCTCCCAAACCCCTGGCTCATCCCTCCGCCGCGCCTTTGCGAACATGAGTGCTTTCTCAGTCCCGACGTCCCAGTGCTGGCGGGGTCCCGCACTCGCCTTGCCCTTCTCTCCCTCTGTAACTAACTACACGTTGTTCGCTTCCGCTGCTTGCGAGGAGTTTCGCGGGCGCCCCGGCCGCGCCCCCGACACGTGCGCGTGCGCCTCCTCCGCAGCGTCGGAGCCAGGAGCCGC